ATTGGGGGGGGGGGGGGTCCAGCAACGATGGTTAGTTGCATGACGAATCAAGTCAGACCAAGGTGTTTTGGAAACCTAACTTCATGTTGATTTTAATGTCAGTCATCATATTTCATCGTCGCATACGTAACAACAGGTACGAGGCCAAGAACTCCGATACACGGTGCAAATTAACAAAAAAAACATCAATTGTTGTAAGTCTCTTTGTGATGGACTTCACCCAAGTAACCAATAAACAAAGGTAAGCAAACCGGTGTTTTTTTCATCTGCGTGTTACAGACCCTGATGGCGAGTCGATATATACACTGAAGGGGTGGTGGCCCGCTCAGAGGCAGTTTCCCTTTTCTTATTTACTCTTGTCTGTTAATCATCTAGTTGCAGATAGGTGTTCATAACACTGGAATACAATATGCATCATTTTGTTGGCCGGCTAGTATCATTATCTCTGGTTGACAGTAACACGGATTGCCCCTCTTGTCCATTGACAACAACATGGGCTGCCCGACATAAAATGTAGAACCTAACAGACAAAATGGATATTGTTAAAAACAGATCTAAACTCTTCAAATACTGTAATGTATAAAAAAAATTAAAGGACCAATTGAAAATGTATTCGAGATTGGTATAGTCCCATGGTTCCAATCCCCGTTCTTAAACACTTGCTATACCTATGTTAAGGTGAACTGCTCCACCATTATTTTCCCCAACAGTCTGATTGGTGATTTTATGAAAGGAAAAAATGAGAGGTAAGATCTCATTTCACTGTAATTTACAGGTGAGTGAACATCCGTGGATCTATGGTAACTGTCGTCAAAGCAAACTCTGGCGTTCATAAAAAGTGCGACACCCAAGAGAAATAACTCATTTATCAAGAACACAGAATAATATCAACCGCGAGACGAAACTGTTGGGAAACATTTTACCTGAAGCTGTTACAAGGTATACATATCCAAGAACTGATTGCAAAAAGGTAAGGGTGATAATGCGACTATCCAATCACGTTAGTCATCATGTAGCGATAAATTGTTTAAAAATGGGGTTTCTGCCTTTGAAAACAAAAGTCTCATAAAAGATTAAATAATATTTAATATTTTCTTCAGATCGGATTATATATTATTATCACATTTCCATTTGCCTTTATGAATATCTTCTCACGTTTTATATACCTCATTTACCTCACTGCAACTAAGGGAACAGCGAAAAATAACACTTTATCATTACTTACGTACTTGACTCGCGACGAGCAAATTACTTCCAACGAGCCGTACAATCAAGTCTTTAAACGAATAAAAAAAAAAACATTTATTCTTTACTTCTAAACGGTTATTAACGACATACAAATTATTAATATAATTATCATGCGTATATTTTCATTATCCGATTCTCTTTTTTTTTCAGATTCACAAGATGAAGCTCCTGGTTATAACTTTGGCGTGCTTTGCCATTTTGTTGGGGAGAGTGAACTCGCAGTCCTCTGACTCCTCCTCTGCCTCTACATCTTCTGCCAGTGACGCTGCATCTTCCAGTGCCGGTGCATCTTCCAGTGCATCATCTGCCGGTGGCGCCTCCAGTTCATCAAGTACCGCTGGCGGCGGTGGTGGTGGTGGTGGTGGAGCATCAACTAGTGCTGTCGCAGCTAGTACTACCTCTGCAGCCGCTGGCGGTGGGAGCTCCGCCACAGCTGGAGGTGGCGCCACTACAAGTGCTGCTGCTGCTGGTGGTTCGTCAGCTATGGCAAACACCGCTACCTCAACTGCCGCAAGCAGCAGTTCTACCGCAGCGGTAAGCTTTACCTTATAAATAGTTCCTTTCTTTAGATTTTATTTAACACAGAAAATAATCTCATTAAAGGATGCAGTTAAGGATGCAAAATTGAGCCAGCAGTGCATACTTCAGGTTCCACGATAAATATTGTGCACTTGTATATATTTGTTGTAGTTTTACTGGATTCGCTTATATCAAACAATTTATTTTCAGACTTCAGTGACATGCCTTTACTGCAACACCTCAACTAACTGCGCATCAGCCACGCAGACTGTAACATGCCCCGGTCAGTGCTGGGTATGTATATAGAACTTTGCTCTCTTCAATAAATTATGTAATTTGAAATTTAATATCCATTGCAAATAATAATACTAATAATGATAATTGCAAGAAAAAAAAAAGATATTAATAATAATAATAAATAAATAAATAAAGAAATACACTGATGTTGGAACTAAAGTGTAAAGTTACTGTGAAAACACCATGACATTTGTTTTTCGTTCACCTTTTAGGGCGTAAGATACACCAACAGTTCCGACAGCTATTACTTCTTGGGGTGTTTGGCAGATGTCCAGAATTTCGCATGGTTTCCTGCAACAGCCCCGGCATGTGCATCAACGAACGGAGATACTTCTTTCGCGATCTCATCGGGTGGTGACGCGTGTGCTTACGTGCCTCATTGCTGTGACTCCGGCAGTTGTAATACACAATCTTTACTGACTGGAACCCCAAGCTGTACGGCGGGATCAAGCATGTTGGTAGCTTCTGTTGCAGCCATGCTCGTCTCACTCCTGCCTGCTCTTTGGATCCACAGCTAGCTTGCCACAAGACAACTCCACTGCCAAGCATTCTGGTAATAGATGCCACATACGCCATTCAATGAAACAATCGTATCATCCGGATTCAATATGACTTCATGAAATTACCAGAAGACAAATGACTTGGCAGTGAATTCTGCGCAAAGGGTTTTTTTTTTCTAAACTTTAGAGAGAAATCAAAACTATTGGTGCCATTTACAAGAATGAAAGTACAGTGACAAATCAATAATTTGTTAGTGTACTCAAATTCTACTTTGGTTCTGATTTCTTAAATTAAAAAAAAAGCATCACTGTGATTACTAAGAAATTTGCCAAACTTCATCCAATAATTGAAGCAAATGCCGCCATGATGTCTGGTGCTGGAGGTTGATAATATACGCAGCCAATTGATCTGGTTATGCCAACGGAATAATAATTAGATATATTTCTGTGCTCAGACTGGTTATGATGCTGATGTAATCAGTGATGGCCGTTAATGATACCTCCGAGGTAAAAAGACAGAGAAATGGCATTTGCCCTATTGATGAACAAGGACACATTTTTGTGTGATGATATTCTTTATTAGTATTAATACTCTCATTCTTACAAAATCATTTTTAAAACTTTGCTCACTATTAAAAAAATATTTATTAAAAGATGGAATGTCCTTTTGTACAATGTTTATACATTTTTGTTGATCATTTGATCCAAAGATGAATAAAAAGCCTCACTGAATACAATATTTGTTTTTTTTCCTGAAAATCAATAATAAAACAAAAGACTTTCACAAAATAAAAGTTTCAAACATCTTATGGAAATTAATCTGTCACTGGTTATTTCCAGACTAAAAGGAGAAATGACTCTAAGATAGCCATAAATATCATCTGTTGTCTGTCGAAATTATAGGTTTTTCAATGTATCTGTCTCAACATCTGCCTATGTCCCAGAAGATTTAAACGTAATCTTTAAGCAATGGAAATGCTGCCTGTGTTAAATATACAGCATTATTAATAGGACAAAAATATCAAACAATGAAGCGTTTTAACATAGCAAAAAAAAAAAAAAAAAAAAATCCAGTGTTTTGCACTGAACCTTCTTCCAGCTTACAGACTGTCTACTAGTTAAAAAGAAATCGTATCAACTAGCCAAAACAAATTTCACCGCTAAAGGAAAATGAAAGTTAAAAAAGTAATTGTTTCTAACATTGTTGTACCTTCAATGACCATTTATTGTGTATTCCTAATATATAAACTAAATAAAGAAATCAATTAACAACACAGTTATATTACTTAAAACTAAACTAGTTAACTTCTTAAATGAATATTTTAAATGCAAATGCAAATGTTTTGCAAAAAGAAGACAACTCTTCTCTAAAGGAACTCATTCCTTTCACCATTTAATGTGTATTCTTAATATATAAATTAAATAAAGATATTAATTAACAAAGTTTTGTTACTTAAAGCTAAACTAGGTAACTTCTTAAATGAATAGTGAATGCATGCTTTGCAAAAAGAAGGCAACTCTTCTCAAAAGGAACTCATTCCTTTCCTAAAGAGGAAGCATATCCTGTGAGTCTCACATTAAAATATTTAAAGGTACTCCTCAGTAACCTTCAAAAAATAAACTTCCATAACAGGTTTTCTTACACTACAAGAAATTTAATTGGTACAAGATATCTATTTTAAAAAAATCAAATAAATAAATTCTCAATCACCAGTGCCTTCACTTGCCTCCTTGGGTCTGAAAAGTGCAGTCAAATCACCAATAGTGAGCATATTGTCCTCCTTGCTGTGGAAATTGTCAACTTGAGTAGACCGATGCATGTGATAAATGCGCTCCTCAATTGTCCCACGGACTATGAATCGGTGAATTACAGTTGGTCTAAAAAGAGAAAAAAATTCACATAGCATGAAGAATCATAATGGTCCTTTCTAATACATATCTGCTGTCCTCAGACAGTCCTTACTATAAACATATGACATTGTAATGGTTGGGTTTTCGCAGATGAAATTGTGTTATATGTCACACCTAACACATTTAATGAGTAAATAAAATTTTTTGGAGATTTTTCTGTGTAACAATTTACATTATGGGGCAATATGCTCGTTGCTGACTTTAAACTGCCAACTTGACTCCTTTTATGAATAATGTCATGGCATTGAGCAGTCTGAGGCAGATAGGCATTTGCCACAGCTGGAAATTTATAGGATTACTTCAAATAATAATTTGCAAATTTCAACCTTAACATCAAAATATGCTGACATCTTGAGCCAGGCCTTAATATGCCTTTATGCACACCAGATTTTTTAAAAATAAAACGAAGCTTTCAAATCTCACTGTGCTTATGGTCAATATTAAAGCCTCCCATTCTCTTACCGTGTCTGCCCTATCCTGTGCACTCTACCCACTGCTTGCAGTTCCTGTGCTGGGTTAAGGATAGGTTCCACCATCAGTACATGGGTGGCTTCAATCAGGTTCAGTCCATTGGCCCCCGAGTGCACAGGCAGGAGGAGGGCTACAACACCAGGGTCATTCTTGAAGCAGGAAAGGTTGGTCTGCAAAATATGGGCTTCATTTTGAAAACACTGCATTAAATTCATAATGATCAATGTGTTCAGACATGGGGAAAGTGCTGGTCCGACTGGTCATGACCTTATAAAAAGCTGGAAGACCGGCATGATTTTTAATAATGCAGGTCCTTGAGACCAGCAACATTAATGTGGAAATACAATAAATAAAAATGAATCATATGTAAATATCAACAAATGGACCTGCACAGAAATAGGACCTGCAGATTTTTTGTAGTGCAGGTACTCCGCACCTTCAGTACCTCCAAAATTTTCCCATGTCTGATGTCTTAACTAGAATACATTTTGCACAAAACATTTTGGACTGTTATTTTACTCATTTTGCATCATTTAATTTTAGAACAGGATGTTGTAAGGAAGTTGTTTCAAGACCATCCACATGTATTTTTTATCTCACACATTTTGAGTCTCCCACCTGAAACTTGTTCTGCTGATGCAAAGACTTAAATGGGACACCATTCTCCGTAAGTGCCCTTCCAATCAAATCTAGCACATCTGGCCACTGGAAGAAACATCAGAGAAAACTTAACAATAATTTAAAACAAATACCCAAAACTTAACCAATACTTCTCCTCAATGCTGATTTTAAGAAAACTGCAAAATTACAGCTGAGCAATCATAATATAAATTGTGACAAATATTTCACCGTGTTCAGTGTTAAAACTTACTGTTGAAAATACAAGAGCCTTGGCCCCAGGTTCAGTGGCATGAAGAAGTTTAATGGTGTGCACTACAGCCTGCACTTTTGTTGAATGGCTACCCTACATATGCAAAAAAAAACAAGGCAGCAAAGCTGTCAAATGTACAGACAAAAAGCAGACAATAACAATGCACAAAACAGGCTACTGTCAATTCTGATGCAAAAGTACATTATGCTTAACTGCAAATTCAACATCGAATTTTAATTATGCTCAACAGGTAATACCAATGTAAGNATTTTCGAACTTGACCTGCGTTTTATGAATATTAGTCAGTTTTGTAAATATTAAGCCAAAAAGTAAAACTGTCTTCTAGTTATGGTGTTAACGCTGAAAGTGCACGGCGACGGCGACATGATCGGCGACGGCGACGACAGACGCAGGTGATGGCAATATGTACAGACACATCTGTGTCTGTACATAAAAAAAAAAGGATGCAAGTTATTTTAAAATCTGTCAAACCTTCGTATAGATAAAGTCAACAAAAATTAATGGATTTTTTTTTCAAGATATATACAAATGAAAGATCATACTGCATAAGTAAACAGCATACCTTAATGTGGATATTTTCTGCTCCATCTTCATTGTTCTTGTCAGCTTTTGTGCTGACATATGAGATATCCCCATGAGCAGTAGTTTGCCTACAGATGGCGCATTTAACACGTGTCTGCCTGCCTCCACAGCTGTAGCCATCTATTAATATCCTCATGCAGTCCAGACAGTAGCAATGGCCACAGTGCAACACACTCCACTGGAATATTTGAAAATTACAGTCACTTTTTACTGACACTAACCATGGTCCCTGGACCTACGTATAGCAATTTTTTCTTGAAAACTCGGAACTTTAGAATTTGCTTAAACAACCATCTGCTTTTTCTTAACAAATGTAAGTTTCATTGAATCGTATTTGTCTATGAATAAATATTCATACTTTACTTTTGTGTAAGCTTAATATAAATAAAACTTTCAACAAAAGAAAAAACAAAAAATGGGATATGACCCAGATCAGTTTTATCAAAAATATATTGATCAGTAACAATTAACACCTGACAGATGATATTAAATTAATGTTTATAACCACAATCCTCTAATTTCTTTTACAAAATGAAAGTGAGCAAGGGCAGGAAATAGGAGAGTGTATGCATGTATATACAATGCCTTTGGCAAAAAACTAACCTCTCTGCCTAGTTCTTTCTGACAGATTGGACAGGGCTCTGGGTTCAGTCCTCCCTGCAGGGCATCCTGGGCCTGAAAAGGGCATATATATCTATATCTATATCTATCCATCCATCCATCCATCCATCTACCTATATACAGAATTTGAAAATCTTCTCTGTAACCTCCTGTTACATTAATACACATGAGCAAATTATTACATAAATACAAAAAATAAAACTAGAGGATCAGAGAGGCGATACCGCCTCCGAATATTGTACCACCAGCTGGAGCAAGCGCATTCGTATAGACCCCCACATACACAAAATAAGGGACACAGCCACCAGTCTTATGCTTGACAAGCTATAAAAATGCAATCAACAAGAATTTTCAAAATACGCAAAAAATATATATAACTTAAAATGGTACAATCAAAGTTAAGTTCATCGTAAGGTAGGTCAAAGGTCAATTTCAAGGTCACAGTAAATTGCCAGTATATGACTTCCTATT